CTCTCTCTCTCTCTCTCTCTCTCTCTCTCTCTCTCTCTCTTATTGGAAATCATGTTAAGGAAAGGAAGAGTATTATAATGTTTAATTGTTCAATGTACTATAATTTGTGGAAGGATGTTGCACAGAAATATTTATACTCAGATGACACACTGCTTAAGGAAAGATGGAATGTTTATATTTAAAATTTGGAAAAGTAAATAAAAAACTTAAAAAATAAAACAAGCAGGCTCATGTCCCTGAGCTACAAAGATTCTCCTTTATTGTCTGTGGGCTAGATTTGAAAATTGGGGGGGAAAGCAGTGATAAATCCCATCCGTACTCCAAAGACACTTTAGCTTACTCATATGACCATTTCTTTGTGGTAGGCCTAACCCCAAACCAAACCACGATTACGAAAGATTGAAGATACAGTGTATGAAGGCTATGTCGGATCTACAGTCCCTACAGAACCAGCATACCAAAACGCTAAAGAGATGCGAAGAAGCTGCTAAGGAAGCTGATTTCTATCAGTGAGTAAACATACACAACCTTACTCGCGTTTTTTTTCTTATCTTTTGCATTGAATAGGTTCTCCTAGAGTTGGATATTCAGGGGCTTTTAATGCTAGCTTACTTATCCTCAGTCTGTTTGTCTCTAAAATGTCCTAATTCTAACATCGGCGGAGGGAGAATCTACAGAGCATTTGATAGCGGATTAAGGATTAGGGTTATTTTTTTTAATCTCGCAGAGAGAAAATCAGCTTTTGAAAGCTGTTTGAATGCAAACTTCTTTTGCAAAGGGATGGAGCAAGGTCTGTAAAAGTTACTTTCCCCAGGCTTAAAACATGCTTTTATTTCCTTTCGATTGTATGTTTGGGAGACATATTTGTTTTCTGTTTCTGAATCTTTTTTTCCCCCCTTGATTGGGGTACAGATGAAAATATTTCCCTGGGACAGTTAGATACAGTAGTCCTTGAATTTCAACCATTCTCCTCCTCCTCCCCCCTCCCAGGATTGCATTGGTGTATCAATGAACACTCAAAAAGCTGAATCTTCATTTGAAAATTTTACTGTTTTTAATGTCCAAATACTTCATGACCCTCAACTTTTTCCTTGCATTTTAGTAGAGAAGGCCAGCAGTATGATCATTCATTCATTCATTCATTCATTCATTCATTCATTCATTAGAATTTGTCAAACAAAAACAAGAAGAAGAATAAAAGAATAAAAAATACAGTGACAGGGACGATAGGCACGTGTTAAGGCGGCCTCCCTCAGTAACCAAGAAAGACACCACTCAACTCCATTTTGCAGAATTAAGAGTACTTTTACTGGTCATGAGTAGATAGCAGCTAAGCAAAGCAAGATCTGAGGCAAAAGCGTGCGTAATCATAGATATCAATATGTGACCCAGCCCCCTCCCCCTGGTAACCCCATCCCATGGTCCAATCCACACATCCCTCAGGTGTCATGTGGGAGACATCTTCAAAAAGCATCATCAGGTTGGTATGCCGGACAGTTGGCCTTGGCGGCAAATCCTCTATCTGCAGCCATGCGCAATAGATGGTGAGAACAACTCCCTTTTAATAATCACTCCTGTACTGGATACTTCCCCACCCAAATACTATGCCCCCCCTCCCTGTTTCAATGGCAGCCGAAAGCAAGCAGTAAAGCAGAGGCTGACAGCATGCTTGTGCACTTATGCACAAAGTACTGACCATTTAAGTCTGAAGTAAGGGCCATAGAAGTCGATTTGTGATTGAAACTGTGAACATTTGTAGCTGAGACAACTGAGTCAGGTAGGGCATTCCAGACTGTGACAACTCTGTTACAGAATACTGATTTTTTACAGTCACATTTAGAATGATTTACATTAAGTTTAAAGTGGTTGTTAGCGCCCGTATTATTGCGATTAAAACAGAAAAAGTCATTTGCAGGTAAAGCATTACTACGTATAATTTTGTATGCAATACCTACGTCTGACCACAAGCGTCGCTGTTCTAAGTTGTCCAAACTGAGAATTTCGAACCTAGTAGCATAAGGAATTCTATTGTGTACAGAAGAGTGCAAGACTTTTCTCGTGAAATACTTCTGAACCCTCTCAATTGTGCTGATGTCAGATATATGGCGGGATTCCAAACAGTTGAACCATATTCTAAGATTGGTCTAGCATAAGTTTTATAAACTCTAATTAGCAATACAATGTTTCCAGGGGGGGGGGGGAAACCTGCACAAAATTAAATTTACAACTTTTAATGCTTTTTTAGCAATGCTGTTACAGTGAAATTTGAAGCATAGATTGTCAGAGATAAGTACACCTAGGCCTTGACAAAGTGAGGGTCATCTACTAGATCAATACTGCCTAGCTTATGCTTGACTTTCTGATTATGTTTACCAATATGTAAGGCAGAGCATTTATTGATCGAAATTCGAAGTTGCCAAATAGATCAGGGGTCCCCAATCTTTTGGACCTCAGAAATCACTAAATTCATAATTTTAAATCCCGCGGACCACTAATATGATCTGCTTAATGACCGTCTGGGTGGGTGTTGCTAGGTAGTCATGTGACTGGGTGGGTGTGGTCAAACTGATGTCACTCACATTGAGGGCTGCCTTACCGACCCCTACTTGCCCCTGTCGTCCCAGTCACTCCTCACCTGCCCAGCCTGGCTCTGTAAGGCCCCAATGGGAAGCAGTTGCTGAAGCTAAGCAACAACCATGAGAAAGAGTTGGCAAAATAGCTGGCTCAGTTCAAATTGGATCTGACCGAGAAGGAGGCTCAGCAGGAGCACCTCACTGAGGACTACGAACATAGGCTTTCCAAGCAGAGGGAAGACCTGCAGGAGTGCAAGGCCAGGTACCGACACCTGGAGGCTCACTGGGCTGAGATGGTCAGCCAGTTCCAGGCCATGATACAGTCCCACTGGAACAAGGCCCTCCGGCTCTTCACCACCAGTGGCACTTCTCTCCAGCCTTCACCCAAAGCCCCACACCAGGAGGCTGAAGCAGACCCCAAATCAGAATTTCTGCCCCCTCCGACCCACACAAAAAGACCCCAAAGGGGGAGACTCTCTGTAGCAACACAAGCGTTCATTGCTTGTATCTGTCCCAGGAGCCATAGTTTGACGACTCCTGGTTTAGTGCAATATAAAAAATGCAAATAATTCCCCTGCGGATCACCAAAATTTTCTCGTGGACCATCAGTGGTCCATGGGTCACCAGTTGGTGACCTCTGGAATAGATCACCATTCGAGACGATTGCTCTTTAACTATCTCCTTGAAAAAGTCACTTTTAATTTCTAGGCACAAGGGATCATTTCATTTTGGCCTTACTTGTGTGCCTTTCTCTTCTGGCCAGTACGTTACACAGCCGTCTGCTGAGTGACCAGTCCCAGCTGAAGGAGGACCTGGACACTTTAAAAAGGAAAAACAGCCAGTTTGTACGAGAGCACAATCACCTCCAGCAGTTGTGTGAGGAAATGAAGAGGCTTCACGAAGACGATCAGAAGGAGATAACAAACCTACGCAGCCAACAACAGCAGGTATTTCTTTCCCTGTTTTTTTTTTAAGGTATAGCTACTCCTCGACTTGCAACAGTTCATTTAGTGACTGCTCGAAGTTACCACGGCACTGACAAATGCGAGATATGGCCGTTTTTCACACGATCATTGCATCATCCCTGTGGTCACGTGGACAGAAATTGGACGCTTGGCGACTGGTTCATATTTATGACGGTTGCATGTAATTCCCTTTTGTAATCTTCTGACAAGCAAAGTCAGTGGGGAAGCCAGATTCACTTAGCGACCGCATCACTAACTTAACAACCGCAGCGATTCACTTAACGAGTGTGGCAAAAAAACTCACTCAACCACTGTCTCGATTAACAACAGAAATGTTGGGCTCTGTTGTCATAAGTCTAGGACTGCTGTAGTTTCCATAGGAAAGGTGGTGGGTTTTTTTTCCACAATTAAAATATTTATTAATGCATTAGTAGCGCTTTTCATTTAATTAGCGTATTGGTTGCATTTATTGCTGATGGCTTTTCGTCTATGCTTTTTGCAGAATTTAGGCACCGTGGTTGAAATTTTTTCTAAGGCAGATCTAAGCAATTTAGTCTTTCTATTTATAAACTTTCTGGTTTTTCAGCTTTGCAATCAGCTTGAAGATAATTTATTCCAAAAGCAGTTTTCTGATATTAATTAGATCACACTAGGATGTTCTATAGTGGCTCAGAGGCTAAGACGCTGAGCTTGTCGATCAGAAACGTCTGCAGTTCGGCAGTTTGAATCTTTAGTGCCGCATAACGGAGTGAGCTCCTGTTACTGTCCCAGCTTCTGCCAACCTAGCAGTTAGAAAGCATGTAAAAAATGCAAGTAGAAAAATAGGAGCCACCTTTGGTGGGAAAGTAACAGTGTTTCGTGCGTCTTCAGCGTTCAGTCATGCTGGCCACATGACCATGGAGATATCTTCAGACAGCTCTTTGGCTTTGAAACAGAGATGAGCACCGCCCCCTAGAGTCAGGAATGACTAGCACATATGTGTGAGGGGAACCTTTACCTTTACCTTTACCTTAGAGTGTTCTATAGTTCGGTCTTTAATCTGCTTGTTTCTATACCGAATTTCGGTTGTGCATCAATGCATGCAGTTCTGTCTTTTCAGTCTGTAACAGTGGTGGGTTTCAAAAATTGTTCGAACCTACTCTGTGGGTGTGGCCTCCTTTGTGGGAGTGGCTTGCCACCCATGTGACCAGATGGGAGTGGCTTGCCGCCCATGTGACCGGATATGAAGACACTTGTCAGAACCACCTTAAATTACCTCACACACAGCACTGGCATGCATAAGAATAGGATGTAAATGTGTTTTTTAAAAGG